AACTGAACCTGGACATCATTGGAGCTGAGGGAGCAATAATCTGTAGCACTGTACCACCACCCCCTCTCACCACTGTACCATTCCCCACCCTCTCCTACTTTCTGTTTATCACCCGTAACTGTGTTTAAGCCGGGAAACTTGGGGGCTCACGGTAACGAGAAGGTGACAAAATAATCAAACAGTCAAAATAAACTGGGAACGGTTTACCATCGATGAAATCCTTAGCATGTGTTCAATTTGTAAAAAAAAAAAAAGAAAAAAGAAAGGCCGAATTTTTTACATTGTTTTTTTTCCATCGTCAAAGAGCGATCACGATAAATTACTTTGTAAATCAAAATTTAGAGCGCGGTAGCAAATTGACGGTCACTCAATTGCAACAGTAATACAGTATTTGACGGAATTGAAAGTTATGAAGACCTAATTTCCAGATGATTCTCCTAAGAAAATCCTTTCCGCAGGTTTTGGTTCTCCCAGCGTGGCAGTTGTAGTAATTCTAAGCAATGCTCTACCGGCCAATCGTGTTTACCGGGAGCTAATAGGACTGATTTAGCAGTGGACACATGTCATTCCCGAATATAACTGCATCGTTTCAGGAGAAAAAGTTAGCTTGTCAAAATCACTGACAGTTTGACTTGTGCTCGCATGAATTTTTCATGCACTCGATTCACCCGAGAATAATTAGTCTCTGTCACAAGTCACACTTTGGCGACTTACTTGTGAAAACAAACATTTCAAGTCAGTATCAAAATGGAGCGCTTAATCGTCTTAATCACTGATGCTTTCTTAAATTTTTTACTTTCAATAAACAGCTGGATACCTCAATTGATTGCGATATCCTCTTTTAGGCTTCCGCTAACTCAATGCCCTTTCTCGGTTTGTGATCTGATCTTTAATTTTGTCCGTGATCCGAATCGAAACCAAACCGTGCGCGACCTGTTCTGTCTACATGACGTAATGCAATCCCCGCAAAAACACTGATCTTCGATTCAACAGTTGGACGGATGGTTTTACGCTTGTTAACTCCGAAAAAAAAATCATGGCGGCAAATCTAGACGCAACAGTGGATCTGCAAATAAGAATTTCCGAAAAATTTTCAGTCATTCTTGGCAAAGTGAATTTTTCACTTCGCTTAACCCGATGGTGATCGCTGAAAAGAAACGACCATGAAGACATGCCGGCTGATTACCTTCGAACCATAAAATCCTTAACAACTTTAGCGCTTTACCTCTTTGGTCTTCTGCAGATTGCTGGTATGTATTTTCCGTATTTCTGTGTAGAATGATAGGGTATGATTTAAGAGGCTTAAACATTTCTAACTGTAATTTTTCCATCACAGGTACCCTAACAAGTTTTGACTACTCCAAATCGACTTTCACTTGCGAAGGCGACGGGAAAGAGATAAACTTTGGCTTTTTATCAGCGAGATACCAAGTTGACAGACCCTTGCCTGCTTACAACCGTTTGCTAAGCTCAACTACTAATTTCCATGGCTGTATTAGGCGCTGTTGCCGTTTGAAATGGTGCAAGTATGCTTTCTTATCGCGCCATAAGTGTTACCCTAGTTCGTGTGGTGAACGACCGTGCCGGAGACTGCGAAAAAACGATGCTCACTCAAGCTCTGAATACAAAACAGGTTTTACAACTGCAGCGCAAGGTATTCTTAAACTTGATCTGCACTCATCTTTTATTTTGTTTTCAATACACGGTTTTCATTGACCAGCGAGTAAGCAATACTCGACACCCTTGATCCCTTAGCAGTGCCAGGTTTGATTATAACGGATTTAGCCAACCATAATTTCAACAAATAGGTCCCTAGTAAGGCAGCGGGTGTTTCATTAATACTTGGTAGATTTCTTTCTTTACACGGGACACTTTTTCTTGACAAAATCGTGGCTAAATTTTTCAGCGAACGCTTTTTTTGTTACAATTTTTCTCTTCGTAAATGCACGAATGACACAGCGAAAGTGCCACTTATGATCTCAGACTAGAGGAATGAGAAAACCTCGAAAACAAAACTCCAGACAATTTTGCGCTTGTAACTTTAATTGCTGCATTTATTTTTTACTCTGATTGATTCTGTCAACTGTCATTTCCTCTGTCTAATCTGAGATGGCAAAATGCAACTAAAACGTTTTCCTTTTTTTAATTTATCGGAAAACAGTTTTTAAGTTTTTTTTTTCCGAACTGATGCCATCATTCGCCTTTACAACCAACATTAAAGTTTATTTCATCATTTCATCAGAAAACACTGTTTTTGATTGATTTGCTCGTTTGATTTGTGACCATATTCTCGTCAAGGCCGTCACATTCAGCTCAGAATCCGTTTCTCTTCACTTTTATTTCTCTTCGATGTTATGCAATCAACTTATCTCCACTACGTTTTTATACGAATAGTTTAGAGAATAGAGAAAAAGCGTATCTTTTTATGAGGGAAAACGATGTATTATAAGGATGCCACAGGAAGATATTTTTGTCCAAAGGCAGAGAATTCATCCCGCCGTTTTGAAAAATCCATTTCTGTTACCCGCGCAAGTTTTTTATGTAAGTTTTTTAAGACTGCCATTCGTTCGGCTGGGTGCAAATCCAT